AAGAATGTTATCCTCCAGCACGGCCCAATACCAGTGTTTCAATCAAGAATGTTATCCTTCAGCACGACCCAATACCAGTGTTTCAATCAAGAATGTTATCCTCCAGCACGGCCTAATACCAGTGTTTCAATCGAGAATGTTATCCTTCAGCAAGGCCCAATACCAGTGTTTAATCAAGAATGTTATCCTTCAGCTCGGCCCAATATCAGTGTTTAATTAAGAATGTTATCCTTCAGCACGGCCCAATACCAGTGTTTCTGTCCAGAATGTTATCCTTTAGCTGGGACCGATAATAGTGTCACAATCAAAAATGTTATTCTTCAGCTTAGTGAGTACCTGAGGCGCATTCAAGAATGATGTTTTTAGGTTTGGCTCAATACCAGTGTCTCTCACGAAGGATATTCTTTAGCTGGGACTAATAACAGTGTCTCATTCAAAAAGAATAGTTTTAAGTTTTGCTCAATGCCAGTAACTCATCAAGATGGACATCCATCAGCTTGGCCCAATGCCAGTGATTCAAAAAGAAGGATAATTCCATAACAAATGATCAAAACTTAAAACACCGAAAAAGATGAAACGGAAACTATTTATTTTACTCGATTACATGTATACATATGATTTGTTTGGCACTACGATTCAAAGGTATTTATTGTTATATTTCAATTAACTGACTGACACAAAACATTTACTGACTATGATCAAGAATTAAAAAGCAAAACATTGACTCAATTATGAAGATTGACAAAAAATAAACGAAATTATGATTAACGGCAATACAAAAAAGTAAAAGATAAAGACTAACAAAATAATTACTAATGCCCCGGTAACACATTCACGGATTGTCTCGCCGGATCCACAACGGATGGAAATTCACGGTTAGCCCCGGAATAGTCTATATCCGTGGTCCGTTGCGGATACACCACGGTTTGACTAGTTGGATAGGGGCTAGTTGTCAACGGGAAGTGATACGGATTGCTATCGGCGCCCGATCTGTGAATGTGACCGGGGAATATGAAGGAGAGCTGAAAAATATAATCTCGCACAACATATAATTGACTGAATAATAAAGATTGGCACATTAAAAATTACTAAATTATGAAGATTAACAAAACACCTACTAAGCAATAAAGATTTACACAATAAAAGTGTAACTTAATAATTAAAATCCACACAGCAAGGCTGTCGCTCAATAATTAAGATTATCACAAAAATGTAGACTAATTATTAAGATTATCACAAAAATGAAGACTAATTATTAAGATTATCACAAAAATGTAGACTAATTTTTAAGATTATCACAAAAATGTAGACTAATTATTAAGATTAATTCAAAAATTGTAGCTGAATAATTGAAATTGACACAACAATCTGATGCTATATAATTAAGATTGACCAAACAAAACTGTTACTAAATGATTTAGATTGGCACTGCAAAACAGTTGCTAAATAATTAAGATTGACACAAAAATGTAGATTAATGATTAAGATCAATTTAAAGATTGTAGCGTAATAATTGAAATTGACACAACAATCTGATGCTATATAATTAAGATTGACCAAACAAAACTGTTACTAAATGATTTAGATTGGCACTGCAAAACAGTTGCTAAATAATTAAGATTGACACAAAAATGAAGATTAATGATTAAGATCAATTTAAAGATTGTAGCGTAATAATTGAAATTGACACAACAATCTGATGCTATATAATTAAGATTGACCAAACAAAACTGTTACTAAATGATTTAGATTGGCACTGCAAAACAGTTGCTAAATAATTAAGATTGACACAAAAATGAAGATTAATGATTAAGATCAATTTAAAGATTGTAGCGTAATAATTGAAATTGACACAACAATCTGATGCTATATAATTAAGATTGACCAAACAAAACTGTTACTAAATGATTTAGATTGGCACTGCAAAACAGTTGCTAAATAATTAAGATTGACACAAAAATGAAGATTAATGATTAAGATCAATTTAAAGATTGTAGCGTAATAATTGAAATTGACACAACAATCTGATGCTATATAATTAAGATTGACCAAACAAAACTGTTACTAAATGATTTAGATTGGCACTGCAAAACAGTTGCTAAATAATTAAGATTGACACAACAAATCTGTTGCTAAATAATTAAGATTGACATAACAAAACTGTTGCTATATAATTAAGATTGACCCGACGAAACAGTTGCTAAATAATTAAGATTGACAAAACAAAAACTGCTGCTATATAATTAAGATTGACCCGACGAAACTGTTGCTAAATAATTAAGATAGACACAACAAATCTGTTACTAAATTATTAAGATTGACACAACAAACCATTTGCTAAATAATTGAAATTGACACAACAATCTGTTCCTAAATAATTAAGATTGATACAACAAAACTGTTGCTATATAATTAAAAACTGTTGCTAAGTTATTTAGATCGACACAACAAAACTATTGCTAAATAATTAAAATTGACACAACAAAACTATTGCCATATAATTAAGATTGACACAGCAAAACTGTTGCAAAATAATTAAAATTGACACGACAAAACTGTTGCTAAATAATTAAGATTGACACAACAAAACAGTTGCTAAATAATTAAGATTGACACAAAAATGCTGCTATATAATTAAGATTGACCCGACGAAACTGTTGCTAAGTAATTTAGATCGACACAACAAAACTTTTGCTAAATAATTAAGATTGACCCGACGAAACTGTTGCTGAGTAATTTCGATCGACAAAACAAAACAGTTGCTAAATAATTAAGATTGACACAGCAAAACTGTTGCTAAATAATTAAAATTGACAAAACAAAACTGCTGCTATATAATTAAGATTGACCCGACGAAACTGTTGCTAAGTAATTTAGATCGACACAACAAAACATTTGCTAAATAATTAAGATTGACACAACAAAACTGTTGCCATATAATTAAGATTGACNTAGTATGTTACAATAACATTTGTAAACATATAGTTATAATTTTTGATATAGAATATGTAACAATAACATCTGTAAACATTATATAATTATAATCAGTGTTATGTAGAAAGTTTACCAATGCCTATAATCAAATGGTCAGAGTTAATAAACATTAAACTAACTCCTTCCTTAGAATGTCAAATGAATGTTATTTTTACCATAGTAACTGAACGAACTAATAATGGATTATCAGAGATTTTCCAAAACATTTGTTTGCAAATAAACCGAAGAATGATGAATTTGGAAATTTCTAGTTTCGTCTTTCTGTCGCCTTTTCAATCGTTTTGTTAGCTAAACGTCCTCCTAAATAATTGTAATAAAATAATGTCATTGCTATTATAAATCGCGGTCGTGATATATTCTCTTGCTCATAAAATAAATTTGACTTTCAATAAAAAACAGTTAAAAGGACAGTTATCAACGATTGACCGTAATGTTTTCTATGTTTGTGCTAGCCATTATGTGATTTGTCCTGTGTTTAGCAACTTTGAAATAATTGAATAAAGTTACACTTTGATTTAAATGACATAATGAAACAAAATCAAACAAAAACAAGGGTGTTTCATTATCATAAGAAAATCATATGCAACTAATAACTGATTGAAGATCGTTAATCAAAATATGGTTATTTTTCAAATACAATATTCTGTAAACGTGGCGATTTGCGTGCAATGGAAATACTCGCGTTTATTTTTTCGTGGATAACGTTAACAAGAAAATATTCACTTGCGAGTAGATATATGTCGATTAAAGTTAAATAAAATATAGAACCATTTCCAACTTGAAAATGTTCCGCGATCAGTAAAAGAGTCGCCTTACGAATATTTCTCGTTTACAGTACTTACAAGATAATGGGCTGCAATACATTAACAAGGAAACAAATAGTTCCTAATAAGTGATATTATACATTTTATGCAGGAAACATGGGAATGTACTACTTCTATATAGTATAATGGAGGGTATTAAATTCATACAAATACAACTTAATAATTAAAACATGAATATTCCAAACTGGTTACATGAACCAATATTGCAGGTATGCCACCTATATAAAGAACTGTGTAACAGTAGAACGTGAAATAATAATTCACTAATTGAAAATCCTTTGCAAGAGGATATGAACCTGTAACCATTTATGCTCTTTTTTCTTTTACAAATATGAAACCCTTACAGTCGATGGGATTCAAAAATGGTTTTTAAATCTATTGAAAAAATCCAAGGTATACAGTAACAAATTCGAAACATACACATAATCTGGATAAAGCATGGCTCAATATATCCTTGACTATGTCTTCTTTCTATTTGTCATTTGTATTGATAATGGTAATAATGAGAAGAAACAACTTCTTACAGCGAAGTTGAAAATGACCGAAACAAAAAAGGCAATTTCAAATTATTATTTTTACAAATCAGTAGAGATGAAATAAACAACTTACCCAATAATAAGCAACAACACTTACTAAGGGTACAGCTTATGTTTTCAAAATATATACAAAATGAAAGTATTCGTATAAAGGATTTTATGTCAAAACTCAAACGAATGTAACACTAGGTTTCTCTAATACAGAAATAGCCTGTTTACTACTGGAAAACCGAAAATCCTAATAACAAACGTTTCCTCTGGTACATCGACGTGGTTATTCTTTTCGCAGCCCCTACCAATTTTCTCTACTTTCTTCGGTAGCCCGAGGCTCAAAGTTTTATGACCTTCAATTTCCTTCGGTAACCCGTGGTTCAGCTTTTCCTGGTCTCCAGTTTCCTTCGGTAACCCGAGGATCAGCTTTTCCTGTCCTCCAGTTTCTTTCGGTTGGCCTAGGCTCTGCTTTTCTTGTCCTCCAGTTCCTTTCTATTGCCCCAGGCTCAGCTGTTCCTGTCCTCCGGTTTCTTTCGGTTGCCCTAGTCTCAACTTTTCCTGTCCGTCAGTTTCTGTCGGCTACCCGAGTTCCAACATATCCTGTCCCCCAGTTCCCTTCGGTTTCCCTGAGATCGAAATCTCCTCTCCCCAAGTTATTTTTGGTTTCTGGAAGGTCATTATCTTCTGTCCCCAAGTATCTGTTTTTCACTGTTTGCCTTTTAACACCCAATTGCGACAAAAATTGACTTTGTGATCTTTCTGGTCCTGCAGTTAACTCACCCAAGGTAGCTGCATATGGCTCCAACTGTTCGAAAAAAGATGATACATCAAATGTGTAAGGATAAGGTTGAGACGGAATAAAGACTCTAGGGTAATTTACTTGTTATTGCTAGTTATAAAAAAATCGTACGTTTGCTGACTGCTTATTGAATATCGTGTGATATATGGGTTCAGCTTATCAACTGATGGATTGTATAAATCTAATTTAAATACACTTCACACATGCATTATTTAAATGATAGAAAAATATATAAATACTACTGTTTATAACAAAAAATTACGTCAGATGATATTTTAAAACACGAAGCTAGTCTGGAAAATGGTGTATTAATTCGTTCAAATCAAAACAACATACCGGCATATCAATATGCAAATATATATGAGGAATATATAGTCATTTGACTGCAGATGGAATATGAGTTAAATGAAACTGCATTTTGAAGATGTATATCCGGAAGTAGTAAGACCATCATATAGAAATAATCCTGCTAAATTCACACCTACCCCGGTACTTTGTTCTAATTGCTGTCTACTCTCTTGTCGTCTTCGTGTGTTACCCTCTTTGTCTTTCGCTTTCTTTGATGCAATCTGGTTGCGTATTTCTTTCATAAGGTGAAGCTATCAACAAACAGAAACGAAGCAGTTAAACATAAATCAACAGGATAAGAAATGTTTAAACTTAATATACAAGTTGAAATACAGTGAACATACCGTATCAGTACCGTAGTTGAAGGTATAACGAGGTGGACAGGTATATTTCTCTAGACCGAGAGATGTAGGCCTAGTCGAGTGGATCTAGAAACGTTCTAAAGCCAAACAATTCGTACTCCTGTTTTCTGTAACTGTTTTGTTATACTAATCAAAGCACTATTCTTACTTTAGTTTAAAACAAAACCTACTGAACGCTCATACTATCGGCTGCAATTTTGTCTCACGGTTGGTAGATACTGGGTCGAGTCAGACCATTTCAAGCTCCACACACATTTCCGTGAGAATGTTACGGTAACTGACGAGGGAGAGTTAGTCTGCAGAGGTGTTTTCGATTTCGGACTAACACAGAGCTGATAAAGAACTAACATTTTGGGCAGGTAAATAAGGGCAAAAAATCGAATACAGTTATTTAATTTTTGTATACATTAAGTCAAACAGAAGTATATTAAATTACTATAACACTCTTGCTCCTCTAACGACTCGCACTATCTTACCATCTCAACAGTCCATTTGGTCCCAGATGAACATCCCAGACAATTATCTCCTGCATAGGATGAAGGTTGGACATGACCTTTGAAATAGATGCAAAGAATTGTAAACAAAGAAAAAGTTAACATTTACTTTGAAATTTCCTATGAAAAACAATCTAGTGTGGAAATCAACTGATCGCTTTGAATTTGTTTTAAAAGTTTTCTTTATTTACTTTTGTTCTTTTGTTTTTATCAAACTTTGAAGGTACATATATATGAATTAAAAAAACGAACATTTTAATAAAAAGAATTAAATACAAGAAGGTAAAATAAATTCAAATAAAAAACATTTGAATAAAAGAGAATACATATAACATATATACATACATAGATTAAGATAAAAAGTATCCAAGATCTACCGCTAGACGTCTCTGCTTTCTAGGGTTTGTTCAGGCGGACTGATGTGATATATATATATATGACTTAAAACAAAGTTTACATATCTAAGAGTTACAAAACTCGTTTAAATAAAGGGAACCTAAGGTAAATATAATGTAGTCGCATCCCAAAACGAACAAAATTACGGGGTTATGTCAACATTATACCTTTAATGCAGCGTGTCCAGTCATCCAAATGTATGCTGACACCTCGCAGCTCCGGACAGTCAAGCGACTGGATGGCCTCAGATGAGTCCGTAAGGAACGGCAACAGAAGTTCACGGAATTTCGATAGATCACTTTGCGTGAATGTCTGTTTTGTTATAACAAAAATCTCCACTTCCATCTGCGTCTGGAGTTCTGTTGTTATTGCTTCGGTTGCAATGCTGGTTTTGTGGTTCATGTGTTTTTTTTTAAGTGAATGTTTACTGCTTTTATCACCATTTTCGCCTTCGATTTGGACGTTATCGTCGTCAATGTCGTGGTCGTCGTCGTCATCATCATCATCATCATCATCATCATCATCATCGTTTTGATGATCACCATCTGCAACATCATCGTCAGAATCGTCGTCCGATCCATCACTGTCATCAGACTCATTGCCTTTTGAGTACATTTGAATCAACAACTGAACAGCAGTTAACTTCCACAATCGTTCATTAAAGGTAGCAAACACACTGGATCGTGTAGCACTGGGAAGGTCATCCAGAAACGCCGACAAACTTTGTATTGTGTACCTTAGCCATTCCTGCGATTTAATATGACGATTTTTGTCTGCGTTGAGATTTTCGTTGAGGTACAAGAAAGTACTCAGCCTCCGTAAGTATGTTCGGATATCTGAGACTCCCCCAGCTACCATTGGGAATCGTTGATGTTTTGTACAGCCTTTTAAACATGATAACAGAATCTTTTTGACAGCGTCTATGGCATGCCATTGCTGTTTCAGCTGATGACTATATCTCGGATGCCAATGTATAACTTTGTCGCAAGATGGACATCGCAAAACACTGAAGCCATTTTCGGTATCTTCCTTTAACAGTTTATCTAACAACGAAGCATCATGCTCATGGCCACAGTCTAAAAGTCGTACCAGACGTATGTCCTCGTTGCATGTCTGAGTGAACTCATTTCGTCTGTCAGGCTCACATACAATGCAGAGTCTCGGACAAGGTTCGCCACAGTAACCCATGCACGGATGCGAACATTTCAACATAAGTGGGCACCGAAGATTACACGGAGGCCTGTTACATTCCTCGTGACATAAGCGAGAACAGTTGTGATGAGGACACTGTAGAGAGCACGTCTCTTTGCAGGGCGGACAGTCTTGTGAGCACGGATGTTCACATTTGCGATGCGGACAATATCTCTCACATTCGTTGGAGCAAATGGAACACAATCCGCATGTTGCACTCTTGCACTGATGGCCGCACACGAGAAGTTTGTTGCATGGTTGTGTGCAATATGCGTGGAAAAGTTTCTCTGAGCAGTCGTCGTCTTTTCCAGTACAGGGATGTCCACATGATAAGATGTGAGGACAGCATCCTTTTGAACATTGCCGCACAGTCTCGGACAAATGACACTGAGTCGTTTTAGAATGGCCACACGCAAAATGCAATGTCACTTCGGTAAAACATGTCAGCTTACATTTGTATAATCTGTCAGCTTTTTCCATTTCAACTCCATGCATGCTTTCCTCACAAGAAATCGTCTTTTGATGTCCACATTTTGTTAAAGTAATCGTCTGGAGACAATGCAGATATAGTGCTGATGCCCAACAGAACATTTCTGTTACATGTCCACATTTCGGAAACTTCTTTGTTATCCTCTTCATGCAAGTTACTGGGGCGTCCATTTTGTTGCAAGGGACAAGCTGTTGATGGCCGCATGGCATAGTCTTTAATACATTCACAGTACACGTAACGTTTCTTGCTGAACACTCCTGAACTTGTTTGTGTCCACAGACGAGTGTCTTGTGCACGATAGTTTTGCATAGCATGGAGTGTGAGGGGGTCAATGAGCACATAATCGCAATCATGTGACCACACAGAGGGTGTTTTTTGGGAACAATTTCCTGACATTGTTGCGTCTGAGGGACCTCTTTGCATTTTATGTTTTGTGAATGACCACAGAGAGGGATTACTTTAGAAACAATCTCTTCACAGGGTACTTGCAACCACGCCGGGTCGTCTTCTGAGTGGCATTCTATCATCAGTTGATGACCACATTTCGGCAATGTCTTCTCAACTAGAAATTCACACTTACAGGGAGTTTGAAAGTGACACAGTTTGCCGCAAGAGTGCCCATGATGACACTGTAAGGCGCAGGGCGTTTTACAGTTAGCATACCGAGAACCACAACACATAACGTCCTCGACATGCATGCACAGGAATGTTTTTGTTACGAGTTCTTGACATAAGTTTCCGCGTTGATATGTTTTTGAATCTTCGTGACAGGCAATTTGATAACGGTGTCCACATGCCCCACGAACAAGGGACACTTTCTGTTGACATTTAAAGTCGATTTTTACGTTCGAACAGGGCAATTTTGCAGTGTGTCCGCAGTCCACCCGCTTTTTTGTGACTAAAACTTCACAGGAGTTCCTAGCTGGATCCGCATGGCACTTCATTTCAGCTTGGTGACCACAGGGGAGAACTTTTTTCACAAAGACGGAACAAACACAAACTTCCGAAAATTCACGACACAGCACAGTTTTGACATGCCCGCAATGAAGAGGTTTCTTCATCATTTTTTGACAGTTGCATAACTTCCCGAGGTGACATGGTTTATTACAAGGATGACCATTAGGGCAAGTCTCAGTACATACTGTCTTGCATTTATATGCGGTATGTTGTCTGTCCATTGGATGGCAAGCCAGACGACATGAATGACCACACGGTAGTATGAATCCACACGGTATCTGACATCCGCCATCAGGTGCTCTGGCAAAGTCTGCAGATGTTGTCACCTGTACACCGTCTTCATGTGGGTGATTTTGGCAAAAAAGAGGCAGGGAATTACCGAACTGCTCTGCTTGTTTGACTTTGTTTACAATATGTGACCATTGTGAACTGCACGCAACAAACATGTCAAAGTTTCCAATGACATACAGTCCTTTCTTGGCTCGGGAGAGAGCGACACATATCCTGTTCGACCTGGAGAGAAACCCAATGTTTCCTTCTTTATTGCTTCGGACGAGTGACAGCAGAATTATATCGTTTTCCTCTCCCTGAAAGTTGTCTATGGCAATAGTTTTGACGCTCTTGAATTCATCTTTTGCCATGCAATGACGAATAGAAAACATCTGACAAGTGTAGGCAGCCAACACTGTAATCTGATTGCCTTCGTATCCTTGCTTCAGCAAATATCTGCACAGCTCAGAGATAAACTGTGCCTCGTGCATGTTTGAATAGCTTTTAATGTCATCTGTGTAATCCTCAGGACGGTTGTGATTTATGAAGAACACGTCTTTTTTCACTCCCTTGATATGCTCATAATCCAGAACATTTTCATTATCCTCCAAAACAGGGTATATATCCCGCACAAGTGTTGATATCTCTGGTCGCATTCTATGTTGCCGTTGTAGACAATGGTTTTCAATTCCGTTGTTCAACATGCGTTCAAACATTGAAAGAGACAGGTTGTATTCCTTGGCCAGTTGCATGACTGAAGGTTTCGGCTCTAGTTGTTTATGATCCCCTATTAGAATGAGGTGTTCACACTTTCGACTGAGAGCGGTGACAATGTGGGCCTCTAACACTTCCGCTGCCTCTTCTACAATTACGATATTTGGACCAATTTCCTGGAGAATGTCATGATAACGCGCGGCACCTGTTGTCGTCATGGCAATGACTGTTGATTTTTTGAAAATTCTTTCATCTTATTCTTTTTTCTCATTTTTGTAATCTTTCATAATTTGCAAGTGTTCTTTTTCTACGTGCGGCATTTGTTCAAGTAGCATTTTCTTGTATGTGTCAACCCAGAAACGATAAAGCATCCATCGTCTTCCTAGCTTGAGCTTGTTCAGACAACCATTGAGTGACTCGACTTCCTTTGCTCTCATCATATTTTCAGAACACAACTCCGACAATGTGATGTCTGCTTCCTGCTTCAAAAATGATTTCAATGCGTCATCTATTAGTGGCATATACTCATGTTTCGGTTTCAGGATATTTTGAATTTCCTCCTTGATATCAAGCCCAATCTTCACTTGGGTTGCTAAATGCAGGTCGTCGTAGACGATACGCCTCTCTTCTTCAGCTTTATCGGCTTCTGTGTCTATGCAATCCTGATTGACTGTAGTTTGTCGATTGGCGTGGTCATGCTTTGGTTGTTTTGTTGTTGTAAGTGATTTCCTGTATGCTTGACCGGCCTTTTTTAGCCATGGGCCTTTTCCCGCCTGTAGCCACTGGTAAAGTTTCTGAGATGATGCATGGGGTGTATCACAGACAAATGCATTCGCGTGCCTTTGCGACATGGCAGGCCTAAGTATCTCGAATTCCAGTATTGTGGTTTGCAGGTTTCGTAAGCTGATATGAATCGTTAACAGTTGAGTGTGTAGCTGGGTTGCAGTCTTTTTCAGCTTTTTAAGTTTAGTGTAGTCACAGTGAAGGTCTTTTTTGTGATTCTTCAGGTTGAAAGGCTCGATTGTAGGATTTTTACATTGACTGCCTACTCGCACAATTTCATTTTGCAAGAGCTCCTTGTTTTCGCCTTCAAAACAACCAACAATTCCTTCCAGGAATTGATCGAGGGCATGGTTTGTGAAACAAACTACAAGCAATTGGTTATTCTTTTGATCTGAGTTTATTTCCAATGGTCTAGTATTTAATAAACCTGCCTGTTCTGTTTTGGAAGGATGACTCCATACGTTTTTGTTATGCAGAAGAGTTTTTACAATCTGGATGCCAACATGTGTTTTTCCAGTGCCTGGCGGACCTTGTATAAGAACAAACTCCTGCGTTAGGGCAGCATGGTAAGCTACGTACTGGGACTGGTCGAGGTGGAGAACATCAGCCGTTGGCCACCTGCTCATAGGGTCATGTAGTCTAACTTGAAGAATATTTTCTGTTTTCCTTTTAGCATCCAATGCTGTTGTTAGGAGTCGGCCGGAAGCAATTGGCTCCAAGTCGTATTTTGAAGAATTCTTTCGCAGGTACCTAGGTAGAATTATGCTGTTTTCACAATCAACGATATATTGTTCTAACGGGAGTTGTTCTATGTTCTGCAGACCTTCCAGAACGTGCCGGTACTTTTCGAAGAAAGCAGAAGATTCAATCATTGTATATTTAGTATTGAGTTGAATCTCGGCAAAAGTGGGGAATATAACAGGAAAGGTGTATGATTCAGCGAGCATTTGTCTGTCCGGGCTTTCAACTACAGCCAATTCCATTGTCCGGAAGTTATCGGCCGAGAAACAAAGAAGAGATCCATGCAGAAGTCTTTTGGAAGACTCCCAATAAATGTTCTGGGCATGTTGACTATCAAGTGTAACTTCGAATAGTTCTCCTTCCAAATGGTGGCCATGTTTCTTTACTTCTACATTCCTGTAAAGCCTCCCGTTCTGAAGTCGGCGAACATGGCATCCATTGCTCGTCTCTTGCACGTACTGGGTGATGCCTTCGCGTAAGGGCCAGATGCAGTCTTCTCTTAATAGGCGGAACTGGACGTCTAAGTAATGATTCAGGTCGTCGTAGCTACCACGTGATTTATTTTTACGTAGAAATGCACCGCGAGAACTTAAAAAGATATCCACAACTCTGGGTAGTATTTTGATGTTACGGAAGTCGTCTGGCGGGGCTTGTCCCTCAAACGGAAACCGAGGATCATCTTGAGAACACGACACTAATACCTTCATGACATTGTCTCTCATTTCTGATAACTTTCCTGACAATTTTACGACACGTTGCCGTTGTTCTTCTGTAGATGTCATAAGTATGTCTTCTGTTTTTTCCTTTAGGGTGATAATCAGAGAAAGGGCGTTGTTGAACAAGTTCGGAAGCAGCTGATGCATTTGGTGAAGTATTTCAACTAAATTATCAATAAATCTGAGAGCGTCTTCTACTTCAGAATGGCATGTAAACGTTGATGACGTAGCTACCAGCTCGCGCATGAAGAACTTTGAACCAACCAGGATGGTGAGGAGGTCTATGACGCCTACTTCATTTGTCTTGCACTGTGAGGCCTTCAGCAGGACTAACACCATTTGTATTACGTAATCAGCTGCTAGACCGGACCGACTCAAGGTCAACTCTGTCTGCTGTCTCTCTTTGGTAACTAGGAAAGCCAGGACATCTGCGCATGTCTCCGATTCGGTGAGTAACGATGCCAACTGATCGCCAGTGAAACTTTGTGGTGCTTTTCCCCATGCCATTTTAAAATCCTGTCGGTATGCGGTATATTATCTACTTACAGTTTCATGTCGTTGTAGTTAAGCTTCTTTTTTGCGCTTGAATGTACACCATCTGTAATGAAAACAACGTATGTAATTTAGACTAACTCGTCTTTAAGTGTTGTGGTTTACAAATTAGTGTATTAAAAATCGTCGTATCACTGCCAAAAACTGTAACTATGTAATCAAAACATTTTTTCCAGCAAGGCTATTGCTTTGATAACCATTTCGGGGAAAAAGTATGCCTTGATTTTTTTTATGCAAAATTAATAGAGACGGAAAAATGAAAAAAAGAAAAAGATAAAAACAATCAATCAGCAACATTTCGAATAGAAAAAAAATCAGCGTGTTTAAACCAGAATTCAAATCCTGGACCTCGAAATGCTATATTGTCCTCGATCCGACTGAGTCCCTGGATAACAGAAGAGGTCTTGACCAACTAAGCAACAGTCATAACCGAAACGAAATCAATGGGAAATTACTATTTATACGTGAAACCACAGTGCAATGGGAGTCCTGCATGAAGGAAGTTTATCAATTCAAAAAATTTAAACGAGTATCATAAATATAGATATGTTGACAAACGAATGACAGATTCATATGAAAAATTTGAAAAATCGTAAACGAGTTTCATCAATCTTATATGAAAGGAAACGAATGACAGATTCTTTTTATCATATAACACAAAGTAAACTGTATAATTGTGATCTGCAACGAATATTTTGCACTTGGCCACCCCTGGCACAATGAAAATTGCGTCTGCTGCAAAATGACGTGACGTCACATTGACTGTTCCTATTCGATTGTGACGTCATATGAATACCGTGTTATGCAGTGTCATAAAGCCGTCACATAAATGATGTGTATGTAACGTGTATAATATCACTCCGGAATTGACGTCACAATCGAATTGTGTTGACTCAATATTCAGAACGGGAGACAGTTATGTTTTTATATTATTTTGTATCAAATGATTTAAAAAAAAAAGTCATATTATAAACGAACGTTTTTCAGCATTCTCAAAATTTAGGCTTTTATCGAATTTTGATAGATTAGCGAATTTATGCATTGGCACACCCCGAAAATATTCAATAGAAAAAAATACAATAATTTCGATAGGCACTTTCATAATTTAGCGCTTAAATTATAGCACAAAAAGCGTTACAATGACAAATATTAAATATGTTTCGTAACCATATAATTTACTGATTATCATATGTATTGGAATCGTTGTTTCATAAAATCATAATATGATATAATAGCATATTATTCCACCCGATCACATCATACCTACAATGGGTGAAGCAGTTGTTGTGATAACCCTTAAAGCTACACATAAAGCGGGGAATAACAAATACCATTTTAAGGACTTTGGTATGCCCCGGCCTGGGGACAGAACCCATTGTCTACCCAACTTGGGCGAACACTCACCACTAAGGCCAAAAATGAGGCATTGCCTTGCAAGGCACTAGGAAACAAACAGTTTTTTTTAGGAATTAGAGAGAAATATACAAATCCAATGTTGCATTGGGCAGCAGATGAATTGTGGTAACAGATGAAAACCCCTGATTCTGCAGGGACCCACATTATATGTCTTTTATGACGTGCAGTGAGATACAACAGACCTGCTCTTTCACCGAACCTGCAGGGATTCAGCGAGGCTGGAACGAGTTTCGAACCGTAGACTTCTGATTGATATACTCTTGCTCTAATCGATTAAGCTACCTGGTCAACAGAATGCCCTGGCTCAACAGTTACATCCAAAACGAAATTGAGGGGAGGTTACTATATTAAATACGAAAAAAACATTGTGGAATTCTCTATGGTTTCTCCTGTAGTAGGGCAGGGATCCTTAAATTGAGTGTTCGTACAACATGCGCATATTGTGCTGAGTAAACAACAGCCACTTTAGGCTTGAGGATCTCTCTCCAACAAAGCAACAAAAAATACCACTCCAATTTTTATATATAGAGTAACCTCACTTTTTTCGGATATATGTATATAATGTTTTGTAGGAAAATGGATTTACTGCTGATTAGGCAACGACAGTGTGATCGAGGGTCAAGGGTGCAAATATCGATATACCCTCTTTGTATTTTTGAACAAAAAATAATGTTGTTTATTGTTTATTGTCTTTTTTATAATTGTTTTTCATAATTCTTTTCGGTATGTATGGTTTTCTGTCCAGAAATGATTTAATAAAGCTATGGTCACATGAGAAAACAAGAAGCCCAATGGGCCTGTATCGCTCACCTGGTAATAATCTCACAATTGTAACTTTAAGAGTGGCCTAAAATAATGCTACAGGCAAAATATCAGTGTCTTGACTGAAGTCATTCAAAAGAACGTATTAAAAGATTAAAACACATTTGACCCATGTGACCTTAAAAGCCAAACATGGACATTACATTGAACAAACTCTTTAGCCTTCCTTACAGAATGCGACTTGTAAAACATCACCCTAATGGCCCTATACCTTTTATTTATTTAAAGATTTATGCACTCTGGACCAGATGTGACCTTGAAAGTATGTCAAGGTCATTCACATGAACAACCGATCACCCTGGAACCTTAAGTAATTCAGAAGTTGTTTTTAAGTGTTTTTAAGACAAATAACCCATGTGACCTTGCATATGAGTGAAGGTCATTCATTTGAACAAACTTCGTAGCCCTTTAACCCAGCATGCTACTGGCCAAATATCTTCAGCCTGTGCCTCTTGGTTATTTAGAGAAAGTTGTTTAATATTTTTAACATATTTGACCCCTATGACCTTGACAATAGGCAAAGGTCATTCATTTGAACAAACTTGGCAGCTCTTCATCCCAGCATGCTACTAGCCAAATATTATCAGCATGGGTCTCTTGTTTATTCAGAAGAAGCTGTTCAAAGTTTTTAACATATATGACCCCTGCGACCTTGATTATGGGCAAAGATTATTTCTTTTCGCAACTTTGTCAGGCTTCATCCTAAGAACCTATCAGCCAAATATCACGCCTCTGGGCCTTTTGGTTAATCAGAAGAAGTCGTTTAAAGGTTTCAAGAAATTTGACCCCTGTGACCTTGAATATGGGCAAATGTCATTTCTTTTCGCAAACTTTGTTGGGCTTCATCCTAGGAACCTATCAGCTAAATATCACGCTTCTGGGCCTTTTGGTTAATCAGAAGAAGTTGTTTGAAGGTTTTAACAAATTTGACCCCTGTGACCTTGAATATAGGTCAAAATAATTTCTTTTCGCAAACTTTGTCAGGTTTCATCCTAGGAACCTATCAGCAAGATATTAGGCTTCTGGGCCTTTTGGTTAATCAGAAGAAGTCGTTTAAAGGTTTCAACAAATTTGACCCCTGTGACCTTGAATATGGGTGAAGGTCATTTCCTTTTGCAAACTTTGTTGGGCTTCATCCCAGCCACCAACCTGCCAAATATCATGACATTTGGCTTGTTGGTTATTAAGAAGAAGTCGTTTAAATGGAAAAGTTGACGCCGGACGGACGCCGGAAAACGGACGACGGACGCCGCGCCACGGCATAAGCTCACATGGCCCTTCGCTAAAAATGGTAAAAAATGCATATTCATAGTTACAGATTTTGGCAGTGGTACGCGGATCCTTAAGCAATATTATCAAACTAGAATGGATACGCGTATCCGGTTCAACCGGTTTGTCTATTTTTATATGCAATATTTGCGGGTATAAACACGTTTATGCAGGCCTTGCAAGGCTTTGCAACCTTGTGTATTTAAACCTAACGTTGCATAATAGAGGCGTTATATATACAAAATCAATATAAAACATCAATGCAATACATTGTTGAACGTTTTGTATAGAGTATTCTGGCCATAGTTTTCGTTAGCCGGCAGTAATGTGAGTTATAATGACCGCTATGAAATATATTATTGCGCTTACTTATCACTTAGTGTGTATAGTGTGTGATCATAACTTCAGTTTATTAGTTTAGTGTTGTTGCGTTGAGGGTAGTTTTAGTTATTCATCACAATTGAATTTTAAAAATCAGACACCACTTTTAAGTCAATAACTATATATTCGTTAATGACAAAAACTAAACAAAACATATTTTGCACTAAATACAAAAATGCGTTATAATTTCGCTGCCGAGCAATTTGGACCAATCACTAGTTAGAATTACAAATGTCGCGTCAAAAATTGGGAGTTATGACGTCATCACTTTTTAAAAGGTTACATGATAAATTACCTGAAACAAATCTACCTTTAGAGGAATAGCTTACGCTGAATTACATAATATATAGAATGCAGTTGCCACTGTGTGATTACTTTTGAGATTACCTGTTATCAGTTGAAGTAAAAATATCATAACAAAGATTATACGACTGAAATACTTGGCTCAAGTTCAAATGTGCAGGAAGAAGCAGATAACGGACCTATAAATCAACAAGATAGGTTGTATACATAAATCTGAAAGATAATACATTATCTCCAAGTATGTTATGTTGAATAGTAATCAAAGTTTGATAGAATAAAAAATGGAGATATGGAGGTGAGATATGAAATGCATCTTTGGCTTCTATCACTTTTTTCACGTTCATTGATTTTGACCCCCCCCCCCGAGTTAAAATGGTATCAGAATGGAATGTGGGGAACGGTAATATTGTCCAGATATAAAGGTGTTCTCACCTCTTCACGTCTGCATTTTAGGCTATTTGAACGGATGTTATGTACATATCACAATTTATTTATTCATTTATGTGCACATCGAGATGATCATCTTCTTGCTTAATGTACAATGGTGATGGTAAGCCCTTTTTTGTTTAACAATTATAATAATACTATTGTCCATGTGATGTTATACGCTTTAGAGTAATTTACAAATTATATAGGGCGCTATATAAATGTTGTATATTATCGATATTTGTCTTATCAATTAAAGCAAACATGCCCTTTGTTTCTGTTACAGCAAGTGAAGTGGTAACCATTACCCTTTGAAAACATTGCTAATATTATAACTATTTATTTTTTATCTATTTATTTTGTAGATAAAATGAGACCAAATTAAACGACATTCACTACAGAAAAATTGTTTCTCCGTTTCTGCTCTTATATGACTGCAAATTGATAATTGATGAATGATCTCACAACTTTTTTTGGAAAAACTGTTTTCGAGAAAGATCTTTTGGCGGTGTGCCATCCTTATACATGTATGTGACCGTTTTCAGTTGCGACCCGAAGGTACGTTTATACTCATGTGTTTCATGCTGAATCAGTCGAAACCAGTCCATTTGTCAAAACTACGCTATTTCATGAGTATTGGGATCTTGCGCGTGAAAGTTAAACTTTAGGGATCAACTGACAACGATAAAAAATGCAAATGCCACACAAGAATTGACTGACCTCGATAAGTGCTACGTCCAGAAAGTCTTGTATCAAGATATGATCATAAACAAATCTTACATATAAACAAGATATGTAAATACGCCCTCATATTTGTTCACATACCAGGTCAGAAATACGTAAGAAATCTACATATTCTCAAGACAAGTCAATACATCGGAGCATTACATATATGTACACAAAACCCTCGTCGACAATGCACTAGAACGCTACACATATGTACACAAAATACACGTCGGTAATACACCAGAACACTACACATATGTAAACAAAATACACGTGGGGATACACCGGAACGCTACACATATGTACACAAAAAACAAATCGGTAATACACCAGAACGCTACATATATGCACACAAAATACACGTTGGTAATACACCAGAACGCTACACATATGCACACAAAATACACGTCGGCGATACACCGGAACGCTACACATATGTACACAAAAAACACGTTGGTAATACACCAGAACGCTACATATATGCACACAAAATACACGTCGGCGATACACCAGAACGCTACATATAAATACACAGAAACATGTCGGTGATACACCAGAACGCTACATAAATGTACAGACAAGATTCGTAAGAAATACACCAGAACGCTACATAAATGTACAGACAAGATTCGTCAGAAATACACCAGAACGCTACATAAATGTACAGACAAGACTCGTCAGAAATACACTAGAATGCTACCCATATATACACAAACGACATGTCGGCAATGTAGCGGAACGCTACATATATGTACTCACACGACACGTCGGCAATGTACTGGCATGCTACATATGTCTACATATACGAAACGTCTGTAATAAACCGGAACGCTACATATTTGTACACACACGACACGTCGGCAATATAGCAGAATACTTCATATATGGACACACACGACACGTCGGCAATATAGCAGAACATATCATATATGTACACAAAATACACGTCGGCGATACACCAAAACGCTATATATATGTACACACACGACACGTCGGCGATATAGCAGAACACTTCATATATGTACACACACGACACGTCGGCAATATAGCAGAACATATCATATATGTACACAAAATACACGTCGGCGATACACCAAAACGCTACATATGATGTACACACAAGACTCGCCAGAATACACTGGCATGCTACATATTTAAGCAATAAACTCCATAGATGTGGCAGAGCAAGTGGTAAAACTGCCACATGTGTCACAGACAAACTGAATGGTCCGCGCTAGCTTTTGTAGTTCATTGCTTTCATTTATATTTTCGTAATGAGAGTTCGCAAAAAATAATTTATGTCTTTTCCGACTTTCAAATTTCCCGCTTATTAGCGTCAATATCTAGAACGGCACGAAGATAACAACTGACGTCACGCACTATTTCCCATACAAAATTGAAAAGACTTAAAACGCAACTTTCGTTAATAATTCATTTGTTTTTAATTAATATATATATCATATTCTCAATTCATAAAATCGTAACAACTAACATTTTGTAAATAACTATTCAAGTATCGTAACACATTCGCCGGAAGCCCGCAGTAATCAGGTTAATCTCGTTCAACCAGACGCTTGATCACTTGTAATTCAAGAGTCTGGTCAAACACAGGACTTTAAAATTACCATCACCAGAGGGCAGTGTTTTTACTTTCGTTTCCGGACGTTATGTTAACGCCATTAAACATTTCAATGAATAATGAAATTAATGTAAAAAACTTACCTATACATGCATTCCTGAAGTACCCGTGTATTCATTATCATCGAGAACAATGTAAGAAAATGTGTCAAATCTCCAGAATAATGCCATATATTTCCACTGGATAAATCATAACAAAGCACAAAGCCAACAAGGCTGATTTAAGTTTGGAAAAAAGCATGCAAAGCAAGTGAGATTTTACCTGTACAACCTTCAAAACACCTTCAAGTTCTCACTCAGGTAATCTGGCTTGACTTGTATCAATAGCCTTGTTAGCTTCATGAATTATTGTAAAATATCCAATGAAAATACACGAAATCATTTTTTTAAGCATTTTCTTACATTTTTCTCGTTTAAAGTGAAAACATGGATACTTCAGGAATGCATATACAGGTAATTTTTTCATGAATTAAAATATTCAATGTAATATGGGGCCACTCAAATTCTGACTTCAAAAATTGAAAAGGGTGTGTCAACCTTTTAAGGAATGATTTTTATTTTTTCAACATTTATGAGGTCATAACAACAATGGGGTTATGGACATATTGAATGAATCGCGTTAGCGATTCCTGTAAAATATGTCCAAAAACCCATTGTTGTTATGACCTCATAAATGTTGAAAAAATAAATATCATTCCTTATATTTACATTGACGAATCCTTTCAGTGGATCGATATAACAACGAATAAAACAAATAAACAGGGTTTGTTCCTGCTTATACACGGGTGCAACGCAGTGGCGAGAACAGTGTTTTTTCGCGGGGAAATGTGACACTATCGTGAGAGATCTTAGCAACCGTCAACAACAATAACACAACAAAATGTAGTTCCATATTCAATGTTTATTTGTAGCACAGGACACGTGAATACGTGGATATTTCACAAAGCACAGTTCAATAATATTTTAAGATGTAAGAATTAAGCATCTAGGTCGCTCGTTCCGAGTGAGTAGTTTATGTAGTGTATTACTACGCAGTGTGATCAGGTTACTATCAGTTCCCACGTGCTGAGATTCTATGAACACCTGTGTTATGCATTTATGAATGTAATTTTTGTCAATGGGTCTAAGCATACAGAATGTAAATATTGAACAATGAAATCATTTACCAGAATCCTGGTAAGCCTCGGTATCGTGTCACAAAACGAAAGCACTGGGTTTGACCAGACTCTCTGTTCGGCGTAGCTTGCGCAGGCAACAAGAGTCCGGTTGAACGAGACTATAATCAGGTCAGAGTTATATTTGCAGTCCGGCATGTTGTTGATGTTGATCGTGCAACCGGAGAAGGTTGTATTGGTGAAAAATCCAGGCGTAGAATTGTTTGTTGATCTCACAGACACTTGAAACAGGCACTTGAGACAGGCAGCTGGTGTTCGGGATCAAAGCAGAAGATACCGATAAGTTCGGTAGTGACACTGTTAAGTCGCTCGGAGGTGCAAAAACCAACTTCAGTTATAGTCTCAAACCATGTAGCTGCTATTGGCAGTACTTTAGTAGTAATAGAGAAGGGCTTTGCCACACCAAATGTAAATATATCTACATATACGACACGTCGGCAATATACCAGAACGCTACAAACATGTACACAAACGGCACGTCGGAAATACACCGGAACGCTACATACATGGAAACAAACGATACGTCGGTAATACATCGGAATACTAAATACATGTATACAAACGGAACGTCTGTTATAAACAGGAACACTACATATTTGTACACACACGACATGTCGGCAATATACCGGAACACTTCATATATACCGGAACGCTACATATTTGTAAACACACACACACACACGTCGGCAATATACCGGGACACTCACATATACGTACGGCAATATACCGGAACACTTCATATAAGTACACACACGACATGTAGGCAATATACCGGAAAACTTCATATATGTACACACACGACGCGTCGGCAATATACATAACACTGCATAAAGGTACGCACACGACATGTCGGCAATATACCGGAACACTTCATATATGTACACATACGACATGCACGACATGTCGGCAATATACCGGAAAACTTCATATATGTACACACACGACACGTCGACGATACATCAGAACACTACATACATTTACACACACAAGTCGGCAATATACTGGAACGTTACATACATCTAAGACGAGCCAGATTTAGGTTGAGGAGGTAAACGGTGTGCCCCGAGAGAAAAAACCCACCAATCTGGCGACTGAACTACATATGTCTCGAACCCGCTACTCAGGGGTGGCGGGCTAGAGATCGTTGACAGTGGGACGCCTTATCTAGTTGGCCAACACAGCCCCTAACCGAAACGCTACATATATTTTACACAATACAAGTCGGCAATAGACCGGAACGCTACTCATGTATATACAATCAATACATAAAAACAGACATATAAAACTTACACACAAAACATTTACCCGACACACAGAAGTCGACCGAAACAACGTCGGCCATAAATCGGCAAACTACATACAACATAACCAAAACTCCCAACAGGATCTAAATATGAAATTTCAGGGAGTTGTACGTCTTTTTATTGTGACTGGCATACACTTACGTTCAAACGAGTCCATCCCCTAGCAGAAATTACGCGATTTGTCCCACATCTCTACAACAGGACAGCATGGAGTCGACTATCTGATCATGGCGGCTAGACGAGTGACCTGCCACGTACATGTATACAAGCAGGTAACTATACCCGTTGGTAGCCTATGACGATGTATATGTACTGATAACCTTCTTAGAAGTTGATCACGGGAGCCTACTACTGTCAATGTCTGAAAACACTTTGTACTTTTGTTTTCATTTTCGGCGTACATGTACATAATACTGTTTTCTGTGTTCTTTAATAATGTATTGTAAATGCATTTAATGTTATTTTCCCTGTCAAAATATGGCTTATGATAAACGCACAACATCGCCATCGTTATGTGTCGTTTATTCATTTTTACTGTGTCTGTCATTATATCACTATACCATTTTAAACTAACAATGGATTCGAGGAGACATTATTTATGTATTGAAGATTATTAACAAGATATTTGATGAGAGAATCAGCAATGGACTCTTTGTACAAGTTAACTTATCAATAACTCGCAATCATTCGCAAAAATTAAGATAAACCATTGAAATTTAGATCTCAGAAAATTCTGTTTCTACTTCAGGAAACCGTTCTCATGATGTAGCATGGATTATATGCTTAAACGAACTTTCTTGTAACTCACTTAAATCATGTCAAACGATCAAAACGTCAAATGCTAACACTGAAAACAGTGTTTGGCTTTAAGTCTCATTCCCCCCCCCCCCAAAAAAAAATCATTAACGAAATATGATACTATCATTATTTGATAACCGGGTAAAGAAATTAGGCTTGAGCACAAAATCCAGAACGGTTTCATGAATACGGGCCCTGGACTGTAAGCCTCCTACAGAGTTATAGACTCAACCTACAATTAAAGAATTCAAGGTCAATTTCGATGAACACAAGAAAAATATGGATACAAAATATGATCACTTGGCAAAGGGCCGGTTTCCAAAACGGCCCCTTCTCTGATTCAAATTTCCTGTTGGTGGTGCATTGCTCATGCCGTTGTGGTCACAAATCTATAAAGTATAAAGATTTAGGTCACTTGGTTTGTTTTTTATGGCTCCTCAAAGTTGTACCTTTCAGAAGCTGTCTAAGTGTTGATAAAATGTGCATGTTATGTAAAATATTAATGAAAATCTAATCAAATGATGGTCACCGTAAAGAATACATTCATGGCATGATTGTGACAAAAAATCATGTTTCCATCGCGCCATTTGGCTGTTTTATGGAAGAAACAATCTCAAAAATGCCATTTTCGATGATAACATTTTAGACACAAAAACTGTGTTTTTTAGAGAATACACCCTTTTATGGGCGTTGGATGCAAACCAATTTTTATCCTATTAAACAGTACGTAATATGCTATTGATGAGAGGAAAAATCATCAAAATGTAAGTGGTGGAACATTTTCAAATGTTGGGTTGAATTAGCCTATGGTTGAATTGCCGATTTTCGACTTTCTTTAGATAATTAACAAAAAAACGAGAGTATTTGCTCGGTATGTTGAGAATATGTACACAGATATGAAAAAAAGTGAGAGAAACACTTTTTCATAAAAAAAATCCAAGATGGCTACTTCACAAGTCCCCGTGGTTGAAGACATTGGCTGACAAATAGACAGAACAACAAACAAAACGTGTTCCTTATGATTTTGGTTGGTTTTCGCATTTACGGGAGTGTTCATAGCTACGGGCGATTGTATAATACCTATATTTATAAGTTTGGTTAGTCACATGGTAACGGGGATCTTTCATATCGAGCCCCAAACATACTTTCGACATATGCACTCCGTTGCCGCATGGAAAACTATTTCAAGTTTTGTCGGAATTTCTTTACCTGTGGTTGTAATGGTCGAGGGTTTTCCAGCGTCCTGTAATACCCAAGGTAGTACAAGATACTGGAGATGTGCGCACACATTCCCATCGTTCTCTCTCCAACTGGGCACTGGCAGTAGTAGTCCTTTATTGGGGCCTCAACATCGGGTGAAACGGTGAACCGTATCCAAACGTTATATTTCGTTTGGCTTTTGTGTCGAGAATGTATTTGACATCGGAGAAGGTCTGGGGAGTGCTGGTAAAGCCACACCTCATAGTCTCCGTCATCACTTAAATGTTCGGCGATGTAACCAGGAGCCAGAGATATCTGATACGTTCCACACGTAATGGTTCTCAAGTAATCAAGATCGAGACGGGGAAACAGTACGGAAGATGCATCCATCTTGACAAACTCGGACCTTGCCCGTCTAGATAGATCCGGATCTGTCTTGACTCTCTGAGCTAAACCATTCGGTGTTGTCAAACGGTCCTTCATACGTTCAGCCATTAGCCTATCTTTGGCATCTCTCTCTGGAGATCTCTGGTAGATCGGTCCTCTAATACCATTCAGACAGGCTGTGACGGTTCGAAGCAAAGCCTCGATGACATTGATAAAGCTGTTAGACACCAATTGCGTTCGGAAGAACGTCCAGTGTTTCAGACGACCATGATAGGATTCCACAATCCACCTCGATTTGGTGATAGTTCTGTCAAGATTTGCTTGGACGTCAGAATGTTGACTTTGACCGGGTTTCAGGTATGACGGCATGCTAGCATTGAGGCCAGAGGCTTCGAGAACTGGTAGGACATCTCTAAAACCTCGGTCAACGACAACGTTGTCGTCTGGTTGTAGCCAAGTAACTAGCTTGTCCATGACTTTTTTTGTAATTGTAGCATCATTTTCGCTGCCAGTGAATGGTCCTACTGTGTCCAGAATGTAGCCATCTGGTAAGGCGATGCTCATGAATTTGAGATAGTTTCTCTTCTTCTGGCCACAGTAGGACATTCTCTGGAGCTTGTGGTCGGAGCTTTTCTGGATATAAATATAGGTGCCATCTAATATGGCAGTGGCTTTATCTCCAAAAAATGCTTCTGAAAAGACAGTATTGTGCCCGAGCAACTGTTCTCTTGTCAAGTGATCCGGACCTAGAAATTGTGGGACTATCGATGTGTCTAATGCCTGTACTATGGAGTGGAAAGTTTTGGACACACTTGACTTGGAAATTCCAAAAAGAGAAGAACACTGACTCCAGGAAATGTCGGTTTTCAGTTTTACCCAGAACAGTAATAGAGCATCGTGTGTAGTCTTGGTATATATACCAGATGAAAGATATGGGGAACAGTGCGAGTGGATTTCGAGGAACTGATCTTTGGACCAACCTGTCCAGGCCATGCATGCCGAGTCATCAAGAGAAGAAAAGCTTATTGTAAACGCAGACTGGTTCTGTGAAAGGACGTGCGACACCTCTAGGAGGTCATTAATGATTTCGGACGATTTTGATGGTAACTGAGATTCCAAGGAACCTCTACCATCAAGGACAACCTCTGTAGACGGATCTAAGTCGTTACCAATAAGGTGAATGGAGCAGACGCGGGATGAGGTGGGACACCACAGTTTGTGTGAATAGATCAGGTGATGTCTTGCACGTTTTGGTAAGACTGATGATTTTGTTCCATTTCTTGCAAAGGTAACAAGACAGAGACAGCATTTTTTGTGTGAAGATGATCCATTCAAAAGATCATGAAGGGTCAGCAACGGCAGGATATGGGACGGGGAGTCGTCTTCTTCCTCTATTTCCTGGTTCTGCTCGGGTTCAGGTTCAGGCTGATTTTTGTTCCGAAGATACTTCATGTAGCACTTCTGGCAAATAAGTGCTTGTTCCTTTGCTGACATCAATCCTTGTTGCACCAGCGTATCTAGGAGCCATTTATATTGTGGACTATTTACATTGCGTGCACTTCTGTTCTTATTGCCACTACGTTTCTTGAAGTATACTTGACACCCTTCTCCAACACATTTACCCTCCATCTTGAAACAATAACGATTGGTTTATGAAGCGTCGATAAAGTAACAAAATAGCAAGCCACCGATGATTGCTGTAAACAGCTAATACTTAGTAGTTTGGTACAATTATGCGAAAATGTGTGATAAATAACGAACAACTAATTACACAAAATAACAAGACAATATAATAAATCACATTCAATACCTCCAAGAAGCGCAGAATTGATTGATTACTTAGAACAAAATAAAGTATTTCATATGGATAATCTATCTATTCGATGTGGCGTGGTCGGCAGGCACAAAGAAAGTGAGACAAGTCAGGGTCCCAACCCTGACAGAGCCACAACGCTTTGGAGATGGGACAATAAAACAAGGAAAGTGAGACAAGAATAGCTAGCGTCGAGTCAATGATTCCGTAAACGTATAGACAAAGACAAGAAGATACGGATAAATGTACAAGGCCACACGATCAGAAAATTCAGAAGAGGACAACTTGAGATAGAACAGTATTCATGTATCAGGGTGTCCTCAGTGTAAATCTTTATATCGATACTGTTTATTTAGTCGTTACACATCATAAAACTGTCATGAAAATATCCGCTCTGATATTCAATATAAAAGTTTGTATATAATAAGCTATATAATAGGGTTTCAGACAAGGTTGTTACTCATTTCCCCTTTTCTTTCAATTTACAACCACATTCAGGCGGCGATATGAGAACGTTCCACCACATGGAATTAGCTGATTTTTGGTACACATATGAAACAAGTAAAGCTCTATCCGATTTTCTGATGGAAATTTGCATCCAAAACTATATAACGGGAGAAAATTGCAATTTTATGGCATTTTTCTTCATAATTGTGTCTCTGCAAGTGCATTTTCATCCGAGA